AATGTTTTATTATTGCCAGTAGCAGTGCATCTTCCTGGAAGATAATGTTTTTATTAGAATTGTCTAAATTGAGAGCTTTTTACTCAAAGAAATAATAGCCACTGCTATATAATCGTTGTCTACTTGCTTCCTTTTTAAAAGGTGAGCTACAGTCTCACCACTCATTCCACTGCAAAGACATGTTTTCTTTTGATCCTACGTGTTTATCAACGACATGACATATCCTATAAGAAAGTCAAGTCTAACACACAACAATAACAAAATGGCTAAAAATTCAAGTAACACTATGATGTAATCAACAATTTTTTTGAGAAAAATATACTGAACATCTGACTTACATATTTTATAACATAATGACTTTAGGAAAAACTGGATTTTAGAGGCTCTAAGTTTTGTCCAATAAAATGTAACTCTTATATGGATAGAGAAGATGGTGAATATAAAGACCCAAAGGGAAAATTTTGCCTTTTTACAAAAAAAAACAAAACAAAAAAACCCAGAAAACAAGATACAGAGAAGGAAAATTAGTGAAGAGATATACTTTTAAAACCACACTAGAGTTTCTAAGTCATGGCTGAAGGAATTTATAGCAAATTTATCTGGCCAGTTTGATGGTGCGTGTGTGGATGAATAAAACTCTGCTGTGTGTGTGGGTGCATGTGTGTATAAGCATGTATTTATTGTGGTTTACATTATGGATAACACTTTAGATTATCATTATCATTTAACCATGGGGCGAGAGAATAACAATTTTAACTGTGTGACTTTAAGAAATTCTGTTGTTTGGTAATGGATATATAAACATTTAAATGATATTTTAGTTGAACAAAATTCTAGATGTTATCTCAAAGTAAACATATTTGCATATTTTTTTTACATTATTAGAGTCAACTGCTATTCATATAGTCATTATTTCAAAATCAATTTTATTATTGCAAATGATTGTGATCTTTTCTAGTACAACTTTCTACGGTTTGAACAAAAGGGCCCATATGCTTCCCACAGTGGGAAGTCTCAGTGGGAGCAACTTAAACTCCCTCAAACTAGGTGGTCTGGGATCAGGGGGGCTCCTGGATACATAGCTAGCTATTCCTATAGCAAGTGCAGCTTGGGAGGAGGGCATATTTCAGCTTAGTGTTTGGTGTGAAGATTCTGACCTTCTAACTCCAATGTGATCCTTGCACAGTGATACGGTATTATTTCCATAACCTCTATACTGATCTTACTTCTGGTGAGTTCAGAAACTTCAGCAAGTTTTGCATATTTTACAAATGATTTCCATTGCGTTCTGACTTTGTCTGCCCTTCTATGGTAACACAGTGCTTTAGCCACAAGATATAAAGCCTCATAAGAATTTATTCATATCCATTCACGAGGCTATATATGAAATCTGTCTGACATGCACCATCATAAAAAATGAATGACTAAAAATGTCTATTATAACTAAATACATCAGTGCTTCTGCTAATATGTTATCACATATGATGAAAAACAAAATTAGAACTGAGATAGTTTAGAAATATACAGAGAATGAACTCAGAATATCAACATCATATGCTGCCTGGAAAGGGTAGTCGGAAGGACTGATTCTGTGACTAAAATGAAAGTAAACCAGAGAAAGGAGAGGCGAGAGATGAAGAAGTTAATGCGGGGCAGAAGACCACAGAGACAATTTCCACAGCTTACAAAACTACGAGAAACGGTCTGAAGTTATAGGGTTAAATTTCTCTGAATGAAATATAGGCTAGGAAGTGGAGCACTCCCTTAATTTATATTTCAATATAAATATTGTACAATATGTAAGAATTATTGCATGGAAAATTTAGAATCTGTGTATTTTAATCACACACAATTACTGGACCATAGTGCCTTGTAAGATCATCATCAGATTTCAAATAGGTCCTTATTGAGTTCCTTTATCTAAAATGGATAGAATCTAGAAGGCTATCTATTTGATAATTAATAGATTTGTACTCATAATCAATATTGACACCACTAAGAAATTTCAGTCTGTAAATGAAATAATCTATGTAAAGAATACAGCACTCTATTTGGAGCACTGAAAAAAAATCCAATAAATTTTAGTTATTAATGCCATTATTATTTTTATTGGTAGATTCCAAAAAATTTTCAACACATGGATAATTTACTTTAAAATTATATTTCAGTTATAGGTCTGGAATTTCTCCAACTAATAGCATAGGAATAGAAGAAAGGGGAGGGCAACCTGGGAATTCTAAATGAGTAAAGAGATGGTTAAAAAAAGAAATTAGAATTGAAATGGCATATTAAATAAATTGCAAAAAATAGTTATTCTCAAAATGGGAACAGAAATGCTGATTCAGAAGAGTCTGAACTAGGTCGAAACAGAATAGAGTCACCAGTGAGATAAAGACATTTTCAGTAAGAGACCATTAGGCTAAATGAAATAAGCCCATCAGAGAAAGACAAGGACCATATGATTTCACTCATATGTGGAATCTAGTGAACAAATGATCTAACAAGCAAAATAAAGACAGACTCATAAGAGAGCAGGCTGACAGCTGTTAGAGGGGACTGGAGGCCTGGGTGAGGTGGGGTTGAGGGATTGAACCAAAAAAAAAGAAAAAAAGAAAACCTCATGAACAAAGACAACAGTGTGATGACTGCTGGGGGGAGGAGGAATGGG